AGTTTTTGAAATTTATGTTTCTGTATATACATCTAATGATAGACATCTGGGTTGCCTCCAACTTCCCTACTTCCAAAATAATGCTGCAACAAACAACTTTACATATGTCCATTTTTCTATCAATGACATTACTCTTCTGCTTTACATATATAGAAGTGGGGTTGCTAGGTATGTGCATAATCATTTTTATTAAATATCGCCAACTTACTCTTTAGAATGGCTTACCAATTCACATTTCTGCAATGTTTGAAGTTTCCCCTTTTCTCTACATCCTCATGAATACTTACAGTAGTACATTCAGAGTTTTGCCAAAGTGGATTTGCAATATAGCTCATCATTTCAAACCAGTTCAACCAGATCCAGGATTGGCTACTCTTGGATCAGGTGTGTGTGCCTTTTCCAATCATGCGTAGCTAGTGAAAGGTAGGGTCACATGGTAGATAATATTGCTGATTTGTCTTCAGCAGGGGCAGTGGGTGGGGCAGCTTCTCCTTACAAGTGTTTGTGGATGAGGCAAGACCATGAGTTTTTCATTCTTCCTTCAAGTCTCTTCCATTTCGTTGCTAGAGTTACCATTCCAAATGCAAATCGGCTCTGCTTGACCATGTTGAAAGGTTATGCCCGTAGGCTACAACCTAAACTTCTTAATATGCTTTGCCATCTGGCTCCTCACTTCCTCTGTGGCCACAGTGGAACCCCTGTGGTTTTCTGTGGTTTTCCTAGCAGGCCACAGTGTTTCATACCTCTTTGTTTTTTCTGTTACTGCTTCTCATGTTTGCAAAGTCCTTTGGCATCCCCCAACTCACTTTTCTATACAGTCCCCCGACCAATCTTATCTATTTTTAAGCCTTGACTCTAGACTTACTACCCCCAGAAATCACTCTATGCCCACTCCAACCCATGTGTCTTCTTGGTTGACCTGGCTCCCTACCAACTTTTCCATGAGAGCGTCTATTCCTTTCCTGTACTTTATGGTGCCGCTGTTACCTCCTGCTTGGCTGCATGTTCTCTGAAAGCCAAGAAAGCATCTTATTTGGCTTTTTCTTCCCAGAGCCTAGCACAGTGTCTCAATCTAGTGAGTGCCTAACAAATGTTTTCAAATGAATTAAAAATGAGCCACTTATTTTTACAGGGTAATAAACTAGGGAGTGGAGAGGTTATATGTCTTTCTCAGTGGCATAAAGATAGTAGATGAGAATGCTGGAAGCAAAATCCAAGTCTCTTGATTTCTACAGCTTTCCACTATACTGTGAAGAATCCCCCTCATTTATCTTAATTGCTTCCATTCTACAGGGTAGGAAATTGAAAAATTGAGAAAGTCATCTTCCTAATGTCAAGAAACATTGAACCACAGTTCTATGTAGACTTTTAAGACTTTCCTTTGGATTTTTCCTCCTCTACTGAAAAATACTGAACTGTGTGGAAACAGACATTATAATATTTTGGATTCTAAATTACATGAAGAAATTCACCATGGAGTTTCAAACTAAAGGAAGAAATTCCTTAAATCAAAAAGTATAAATACTAATTTTTTAAAAGCTGACATCAATGACTACATACTATTTTTCTCTTTTATTTTACCATTTTCCTACCATTTTTGACTGTATATCAGAGATATAGCAATCAAAGTCATCATTTCTGTCCAGAAACTTTGCAAAGAAGCTTACAATACCGAATGTACTATTATAAAAATATGTCCTTTTCAGTTTTCAAAGGGCCTTGAAGTGTTTTGCAGAAATTCTCCACCCACTTCAGTACTCTCTGCTCTCGACCTTGAGAGAGTGCTACAGAGTTCTCACTAGAGCTGGGGAGGAGAGAAACCATTTTGTCTTTATTTTTCCATCCATTCCAAGAGTCTTTTAGCTGGAGCTGGCAGTGAGTGTGGCCATTAACTCCAGGCATTTTCCCTGCCACTTTAGAATAGGATAGACAGGCGTCAGAGGGAGCGTATAGGGGGTGTGTGAGGCTTCAGCACAAGACTGCTTTGTAGCTCGCTGCTAATGCTTTTTCAATTTACGCATGTCTGAGGCAGGATCATCGCTCTCCACAGTCCTGAGAATGGAGTTCATTATTTCTGTGCTGTGAATTAGGAGCAGGAATCACAATTCTCCATGTAAATCGAGAGAACTCAGATGCACAGTGAAGCTTTGCACCTGATCATGCAAATCCTGCAATAGGACTGGGGACTTCTGATTCTCTGCTTGTTTCCAGTCACTGAGAAAAGAATTTCTCATCGATCAAGAGTGCCACACAGGCTGATAGCATTAATGTTTATAACCATCCGAGAATCATAATGTTTATCACATTAGAGGCAGACTAGAAAATTATTTATGATATAATTCATGTGTATCACTTAGACACCCAGCAATGTTCTTTCTAGTAATGTGCACGAATGGTTTCAGTGGGAGGGGCTGATGGTAAAGGAAGTAGGAGGTAGCAGTAGTAGTGAGGTGTGTTTTGTTTTTAACCTTTGATAAAACGATTCACAAACAAAAACACTTGAAAATTGTTGCATTAAAAGCATGTCATTTCCAGAAGCAAACTAATGTACTACCTCATCATGAAATAACACACATAATTATTGGAAGCCTGAAAGATACACTCTGGAACCACAACTTTTAGACACATAATAATGCAAAATTAATTATATTATTTACGGTAATTCTATAATATATATTTATATAAAATATTTATATTAATTAATTAGATGCTTGGCACTATTTACATCCTATATAAAGAAAAATCTTGCCCCTCGCCCAAAGTGTAGAATACTTTAGGAAATATGGTAAAGTCCATTTGTGGAAAAGAACAATTTGTGGATTCATGACTAGTTTAAGCGAGTGATTGAGTTAGCTTTATCTGCATGAACATTAAGAACTATTCAAAACTAACACAAATATTTCCTCAATTTTGTAAAATCTGATTTTGATTATGGAAATATGTAATGGGCACAATAAGCATAATCTTTAAATTAAATTATATTTTATTTTATGCTCTCCAGAAGTTGGTGACTTACAGAGGTTGGGAAAAGTAGGAAAATTAGTTCCCACTTGACTAGGATTCTGTTTGCTCTGTTTACTTACAGACTTAACCAATAAATCTAAAGTCAACCCTTCATTTTTATCTGAATACGAGCATATGGGCAATTTCCATGTAAGGGTAAACTGATATAAATATAAATACATATCAAGAAATGTTTCACGAAAATTTAAAGAAAATGAGTTTTCTCTCTCTCTCTATTTTTTTTAAAGATTTTATGTATTTATTTGAGAATGAGAGAGAGAGAGCACGAGCTGGGGGAAAGGTGAATGGAAAGGGAGAAGCAGACTCCCCGCTGAGCAGGGAGTCCTACCCAGGGCTGCATCCCAGGACCCTGGGATCATGACCTGAGCCCAAGGCAGAAGCTTAACTGATTAAGCCCCCCAGGTGCTCTGAAAATGAGTTCTTTCAATTTTCATTTATTCATTTACTTCCTAGATTACATAAAAGTAAAAAAGATATATTAGGTCATCTAGGCATTTATTTGGAGCCATTAGAGGATCGTAAAGTGTCTATTCTACATTGAAACACAATCAAAAGAGGAAGTTCATTTTCTTTTTCTCAGCTGAAACTATGAGAGGCCTTGATGAGATTCTCAATGTAAACCTCTGGTTTCTTAATCAAAGATTAATTAGGGGATGAAACAGGCTTTTAAAAAGGTATTTTATGCAATGCCGTCCATATCTTTTGGCCAGTACTTCACTGAAACCAGCTCCAAATCAAGATGCTTTCCTCTTCATTTTTAAAGAAATTTATCGGAGAAGGAAACATCTTGGATTCCACTGATAGTCTACCCCCAAAAAGATGTCCTGTAGATGAGGTGTCAAATCTTCTGGTGTACAAAATGCTGATGTACGAGCTTCAGTGAGAGCCTCTGTGAGTACCTAAGTCCTTTTAGAGATTCAGCGGTATCTGTTAGGATCATGACATCCTCAACAAGTAAAACGTGAGCAGGTTTGGGTCCTGGGCTCTCCCTGTTGAGAAGGAAGGGAGCAGTCCTTCAGCCTCCATTTTTCCCATGAGCCATTTGGAATCTTTCAGTCTGTCGTCTGCCAGAATGTTCTACTTTTTATTTCTCCTCCTCCTTGGATGATGACTGCGGGCCCCAGGTGCCAAACTGTGGAACATAATTGTCTACTGATGGTGACATCTGGTTTGTTGGCAAGCTTCTTCTTGAGTTTTTTTTTCTCAGTGAATAAATGATAGCTTAGAGCTGGGTAATAATGGAGCTTTGTCTCCTAATATCTTTGGGCCAGTTTTATTTCAAATTCATTAGCTTACGGTAAGAGTAAACTAGGAACCATTGATAACCCTGGTTGCAAGTTAGTCTTCAGAAAGTCTTGCAGCCGTAATTAGCCTGGAATAAATTCTGCAGCTGATTTTTTAATGAAACATTTTTCTATCTCCAGGGATGCGAAAGTAAGGAAGATTTTTGAGTCATTTACAAGGGAAAAATCAACTTTTACAATTGTTAAGTGCTAATGCAAAGTACAAAGAGGGTGCTTTTGTGAAATTGTCCCCAGAGACAACATTTACAGAAGACTTCTGAATTTACATCATATGGATACAGTCTAGTCATTCTTTGTGCTTTTTAACATACAATATTCACTATCTATAGCATCCTTTTACTATCTCAAAGTTGTTTATGTCTAACCATCCTTATCTATGTCTTGGCCTAAATATACTGAAAACTGAAGAAAAATCATGAGTACTCAGAAAAGAAAAAACACTAAATGAAGCTATTATTTAAAAGCAAAATTCAAATTTTTTTTTCAGGAAGAGAAAGTTCAAAGTATGAACTCCTATAATTGTAGAAATTTGACCCCCCAAACTTTATGGTCCTGTAATATACAGTCCATGCCTTTGTCTTCTTTTTTTGTTTTTGCCTTTGTCTTTAAAGAAGGAAAACTCTATGCTACAAAGTTCAATACTTTAAAGAAGGAAAACTCTATGCTACAAAGTTTTTTTTTTTTTTTTTTCACCACCATATCAAATTTATTATTCCAATGGCACTAATACAGCTGGAGGTGCTCACGGTGACACCGCACAAAGTTTCCTGCCTTCTAGCTTCTGTCCAAAAAGAAAGGTCTACCCGCTCGTTCCTTCCCCATGGGGGGAAAATCCACTACGGGCCATTTACCCAAATAAACCTCTTAATGCATTATATATTTTTTTGGACATCTGAGTTTCTGAAATGGAAAAAAGTGTTGAGTGTCCCATCCCACCTCCCCCACCCCCACCGGCCAAATAAGTCCCTGTTGCCAGGGCATTTCTCTTGCCTCTGAAATCTTGAAATAAATATCGAAAGAAACGGCATCAAGTGTTCACGTTGAGTGATGGCACTGAGTGGGCCCCAGAACCTGTCAGGTGGAGCGTCCCCGTGGACAGTCTCGAGGTGTTATGGAGAATGCGAGAGCTTGTTGCTGTGGTCGATCGTCAGCCGGGTACAGGGGCTGTGCTGAGTCCCACCGGGGAGGTGGGCTGCAGGGGAGGGCTGCCTATAACTTGTCCAGGAAGTTGTCCAGGGCCGGGATGCCTTCCTTCAGGCCTTTGCGCTTGCGTGTTTCGGCCACCACCTGGCTGGGGCGGCTGGTGTTGTCGAAGGGATCCCCGGGCAGGATCTGCCAGTGGTCAAAAACGCACTGGGGAAAGGCCTGGCCGCCAGTGTTGGACCTCAGGTCAGCGGTGAAGCCAAAGGACTCATTCACAGGCAGATAGGCCTTCACGACAAACATGGGGGTGCCGGCCACCTGGGACTCCTCAAACACATGACCCCGCTTCCTGTTCAGGACATCGTAGATGCCACCAACCACTTGTTCTGGACACTGAATCTCCACAAGGTAGATGGGCTCCATAAGCCGAGGCTGGGCAGTCAGCACACTAGCATAGAGGCAGCGCCGGGCAGTGGGGATGATCTGGCCCCCCCCACGGTGGATAGCATCCGCATGCAGGGTCACGTCGTGGACATCAAAGCGCACACCACGCATATTCTCTTCGCACAGAGCCCCCTCTTTGGTGGCCCACTGGAAGCCAGCTACCACGCTATCCTTGATCTCGTTGAGGTACTGCACACCCTTGGTGATGTCAGTGAGGACGTTGGGGCCAGTGCCGTCGGGCCCAAAGCACCAGATCTTGCGAGCCTCAGCCACATCCCACTCATACTTCTCGGCCAGATAGCGGGCCCGCTGCTTCAGCTCCTGGCGGGCGGACACCTCGCCCTTGTCAATGTCCTCGGCCAGGCCGTCAGGGAAGGATAGACTGATAAATTTCTATTTGCTCAAATAGTAAGTCTACTCATTTATTTTTTTGCTAAAGAATAGGCTAAAAAATTACACTAAAAACTAGGTGATACTACCATGTAGGCTTATTTTTCTGTAAATAATTCTTGAGGTAAAGTCAGATGAGTCAGAAAATATGGATGTCACTGATGCATTTGTGAGGTTGTGTTTGCCTAAATTCTATTCCTAGTAAGTAGTATGGTGGCTCTTTCGGCAAGGCCTAGAAAGCACATACAATTATTACCAAGGTCAGTAATCAAGTTTACCATTTTCTTGAGCTTCTAGGCTAGATTACTAATATAACGAATTGGATTTTAATATACAAACTAAGCCCAGATGGAAGTTGGGGTATAGTTGTGAGTGAAATCCATCCCCGAAGAGGTGGGCAGATTTTCACAGGAAATAGTCTGGAGCTGGAGAAAATCATGGATTGCGGGGTATAAGATGCAAGGGCGAGAATAACAGGGGCAGAAGAATGTCTTGACTGTGAGGCTGAGGAGAAAGAAAATAACTTCAGAATACAACAGGGAAGGAACGGGAAATGTCATTGTCTGAAAACAGAATAGAAAAGAGGGAAATTTAAAGGGATTTTAAGAGGAGCCTAAAAAAATTAAGAAGAGGAAGTAGTAGAAGTTATAGCAGAACTTTAGAGAAGCAAACCTTGAAAATGATGGATGTGACTGAGGTTTCTGGGGTAATACTTTTGAGACAGGCTTGATCTTGTTCCGTGAATCTCTGAATTATTTGAGAGCAGAGTGGCCATGTTCCCCTCACACTTCCTCACCCTGGATCCCATGTCTTCTGCCTTGGCTTCCATGATCTCCAGAGACGGCTCTGCAAAAGGCTGCCAGGGCGTCTCTCCCAGTCAGTTTTTCTCACTCATGTCTCTGTTAGCCACTGCTGACTAGCAACAACCAGGGTTGTCTCCCTGGTTTCTGTGGTCCTCGGCTCTGCTATTTCTCCTCCTCCCCAGCAGCATGCTTCTTCCCTGGTCCTCCCTCCTCCTTCCGCTCCCTCAGCCTGGTCATCACCATCTCTCTCTGTACTCTTTCACATGGTATCCTACATGATTGCAGGATGTCGGACAGCTTGGTGAAGACTGGCCTAAATCCTGGCCTTACTCTAACCTTCTTTCCCAAGCTCCACCCTCAGAGTCTAGACTGGCCTGCTAGACTCTGCCCAGATTTCCCAATGGTACCTCAAGCTTAAGGGGTTTGAAACATAATTATCTCCCCATCACAAAACCTGCTTCTTATCTTATGTTCCCTAACTCTGCAATTAGTATCACTGTCTTCCCAGTCAGTCAGACTCAAAAAGATTGATTATCTTGGATTTCTTCCTCTTTGCTCCCTAGATTCAATTGTCAAGTCATTCTGCCTTTGCCATGTCTCTCACATTCATTGGCTGTCATTGTCACCACTCCACAGAAGCTTCTGTGACAATAACTTTCTTATTGTTCATTTGCCTCCAGTATCTCCCATAGGATGTACTATTAGTGTAATATGGATAAATACTTACTGAATTATTGAATACTATTAACATTCATTCAATCAACAATTATCGAGTGCCTGCTCTATGCTAGACAAAGGTCAGTAGAGATAGAGTGAAGAACAAAAGATTCTTGCGTTACAAAGGAATATCAAGTCTTTCTTTAAAAGAAGGATTCTGAGTTTCTGATCTGCTAACTCCACATAAAAAGAATGAGAAATATGATTTTATTTGTAGAGAAATAAATGTAGTAAAGAAGAGCTTGTTTTAAATAATGACATAGGATATTACAATTGCTTGTAGAGTCTCCTTTCTTATTTTTAAGAATAAGAGGGAGATTATTCATGAAATAAGCACTAGGTTTGGGACCAAAACAAACTCATGCTAATGAGACTCAGTGTACCTACTGATCCATTTACTTTAGTCTGTCTTGTTTCAGCTGGGTTTCACACTAGGATCTGTCTGTGGGTGACCTCTGAGTACATTTGCCAGAGGCAAAGACTTCCATTTTCTTTGCCTAGTGATAACCAGAGAAGGATGTGGATATTACTCAAAGAGAAGTAAGTGGCTTTAAGCCTATGTTTAAAAATCCTAAGTTTTTGGTTTAAATGCTGTTTTGAGCAGTTCGTTATTGAAAATATACTTCTGCTTTCAGAAAATGCCCAAGCTCTTCATCAAAGGCAAGCTGCTGATTGCTAAGGGAAGGATATGGTACAAGAGCAAGCCAAGCATTGATTATAAGAAAAGGGGGAGGCTTCCACCTAGTTAATGAGGCAACCTGCTAACAGTTTTCGGGTTGGAAAAAGTGATCAAGGACTTTCCTTTAGACAAACAGCGTCATTTGATTGCTCTCACTCCCTCATCATCAGAAGGTTTGTGCAATACAGTGGGATGTTTCAGCAAGAGCCTGCCTGGGATTTGCCATCAGACCTGGGGTTGGGTTCCAGTTCTATTCACTTAATGCTTATAAAACCCTGAGCAGGCCAAGCTTGCAGAGCCTCAGTTTCCTCACTTACAAAACAGGATCAGCAATAGTCACCCAGTTCACCTGGTTATTGTAAAAACTTCAGGTCTGTCAAAGAGCACCGTGAGCTAAAAATACCCTAAATTATCTATGCAAATATTCAGTAATAACTAGAAGGGAGGTGCTGAGAACCAAAAGTTTGCATTTTTAATTACATGTAAGTCTTAAAACACGTTTCACAGATACAATGTGTAAGAATCGCAAATAAGTTTGTAATCGTACTCAAGTGTTTATTTAATTCTGTCCCGAATGTGGATTATTTTTAAAAGTAAATTTCAATTTGCTCAAGCGCTATGTTCTAAAATCCACTTGTAAATTTGTTTTTGAAATGCATGGCATATTTTCCCACAGAACAATGTTATAAATGATGGTTAAGTCTCCAGCACACCCTGTAAAGACTACCCAAAAGTAACTAAAATGTCAGGCTTTTGCAGTTTGATCCAGGACCCTAGCCACTTCTAGTGTCTCCATGTAGCAGCAACTAGGTTGGAGATCATTTGTGCTTTTGCTGCGCCTTGGAACATGGGAAGAAGGACTTGTGGAACCTCGGATAGTGGCTGTGTCCTCTCTACGGCCCCAGGGCAGGAACAGAAGGAAATATGGCTGCTTGGAATAGCCGCTTATCTGTCTGCACCGCATCCAGCAGGCGTCGGACCAGGAGTCCTCATCTCCTCTCCCTTCAGCCTGTACTTCTCGCCTGGGTTGTGGTGAGTACTTGAAAATGAATTCTTGAAAAGAGTAAGCCTCATGGTAAAATCCCATCCTCACTCCTGCTGCTCCTATGGGGACTGTCTTCTTCCATAAGGAGATATAGCTGTTAAGGAATTCTGTCAGGGATCCAAGAAACTCCAGGTCATGTGGGGGAGGGGCCAGAGGAAATAAAGTGCTTAGGATGTTGGCTTCCTCTCAGAAACTTCCAGGGTGGGAAACCCCTTCCCCTAGCACAGGGCCAACAGACACATGAGTTAATATTTTCAGTGGGAACTTTGTGAATTAAAGGTCTCCATGTAATATCCCTTCACTGCAAATTCTTGTGGTATTTTAACAGAGGGGATACTAAACACTAAAGTGAAAAGCACACTTGTTAATCACTCAGCTAAGATAGCACCATTTTGATATCTATAATAGTATAAAATGATGAGAAATAGCTTAAAAGGTAAGAGTTCCATGGTGGGACAAACAAGCTTGTCATATATATATATATTTTTTTTTCATGGTTTTAAGTCAACAGATGTAGAAGAGAAAAATCTGTGAAAAATTTGTATGATTAGAAACAGCTAAGCCAATATTTTCAGTTTGAATGATAACTGATAACGGGGCTGCCACCTGTGGTTGTGCAGTTCGTGGACTGGACAAAGGGAGCTCACCAGGGCGTTAGTGATGCTGAAATCCAGGGCTGTGCTCTGGCACAGAGCTAAGCTGGAAGGAAGAGGCACCTTCATGACATTTACACTCAAGTGCCCAGTGTGCCAGCAACTATCCTGTTTGGCTATCATCAAACACTATATTTATCCACCCACCTGCCAGGAGAAAAAAAAAATTGCAGCCAGGGGATATCTTAAGGGAATTAGTACAACCAACTCCATTAATCTCTGTTTATTATAAAGTTGACACTTTAAATGTTTATTAGTGAAGGAGAAGGGAAGTTCATACTTATTGAACAACGTAGGTGGTAGGCACTGTGTTACCCTGTTGAAGTCTGCTGAATCCCTTCAATCAAAATGGGCCAAGGCAGTGGAAAGGAATACAAGCAGATAATAATTACATTTTAAATGCCAGTGTCTTAAATTAGCATATTTCTTTTCATAGAATTTGAAAATACTTTATCTTATTTATCACAACAGCTCGATGAAAGAACTGATATTGTCTACATCTGACAGGTAAGTTATAAAAATGTTAAATGATTAGTAAAGATTTGCTAATGCATTTAACTCAAGTCTCCAGACCCTTAATCTTGTGCTCTTTCCATTACGCCAGTGAAAGGCAGATTTAAGTGATGGAAATCTGTAGGCTGAGTTCTAGAATAGAAAGTAGTGTGTGGGGTTGGGGTTGGTGGAGGAGGGACTGACATCGGAAAGAAATTAAACTTGGAACAACAAATTTTAAGTTAGCAGATACAAAGGTTAGCTATCTCTGAAAACCATACAAACAAAAAAGGAAAACAGCTAGAATTGTTCTTAAAACCCAGGGAGAGAACAGAGGACTCTCAGAACATTTTATGTAGCAAGTACCTTAAGAAGGAGGTCATGCTAAGGTGAGGAGGGAAAAGTCGGGAAAAGATAGTCACAGATTCAGACTCCATGGGAAAAGGAGGGCCAGACATTAAAAGCAATATATGCATTTAACAATTTGAATTATCCTCCCAGGATATTATAAGGAACAATCATATTGACTTGACTTAGCTGATAGTAACGTGTTTGTTTTCATAGGCCAAAAAAACTTGATAGCTTCATTGTTATGAATAAAATATATCCTTAAA